AAAAAACTAAACCCAGTAAACGGCCATCAAAACTCCTGAAAAATTGGGAGGATGTCTCATGACAATTGCACCTATCCAAATCCTACATATCTAACTTAAAAATTAATTGAGAGAACCAACAACAGCTGAGTAAAAGCTCACATAATCAAATATGTCGCAAAAATATTAAGATCTGAATTGGGAAAAGAAAAGTTATACACTGTCTTACCAAGAAAAACTTAAAACATTAATAAATTCAAGGACAGTACAGTACTGATAATAGCAAAAGAACATCTCAAGCTTTTACAGTGCAACATATACAATCAAAAGTCATTAACCTAAGTTTTACCCAATAGTCAAGTGCCCTTGTATAAGGCAAGGAGTTTAGTAAAGATCACAGCATGGTTAATCAAAAGGGCTATAAAACAAACCTTCCATTTTGTCCAAGACTCTTTTAACTGCACCAGAACAGCCTCCACAGGACATAGCAACCTTAAGGACAACAGTCTGCAAAAAAAATTGAAAAAAGAAGAAACATGATAAGTTAACAGTTAACGCTATTGAAAAAACAAGGAAATCACAACTGGTGCAGCATTTAATTTCGATCATAATCACTAGATTTCTGTGTTCAGCATCAAGTTTCTTGACCATCACAAGATTTGCATACTGAAATTTTAATGAATTGCGAGATATAAGTGAGAAGAAACTTAATAATGTAATGTAATCCAAGCAGTTCTCAGAAACCTATCATCAGCAGACAGAGGCATCAAAATAAAAGGTCTAGTATAATGATGAAAAAAAAGTTTCCATGAATATACTCCACCTCCCTTTTCCAGGAAAAGCAAAGGCTTCTCATTTATTTCCAGTTCTCCCGCATGGAAGAATGAAAGGATACTGAAAAATCCCATCACTTCTCTTCTTTTTTAAGAAAGAAAAAGAAAAAGAAAACGCCAAACTCTAAATTCCAAACCCTCGAGTGCTATTTCAAGAAAATCAAAATCAACCGAACATAATCTAATGAGATACTAAGAAAGACAATAAAAAAAAAATCAATTCTCCACCATCAAAATCATGCAATCACTAAAACTCCCACGGACCGAGGTTACGGTATTCAATCCAAGAACACCAAGAAAATTATATCCAAAACTCAAAAAAAAAAACAACAATTGCACCAGAAGAAGAAGAAGAAACAAAATGAAGATATGCATCTTCAAAACGCATAATCGAAAGGACCTAAAGTGTTCTCGAAGTACCTGAGACATGGCTACCACGTGGATTGGAGATCAAGAAGAAGAAAGTCGTCTGTTCTCTTTTCTTCTTTTTGAAATGTTTCTGGACTTCCGATGGGTTGAACGGGGGGGGGGGGGTTACTAAAGACTGCTTAACTACAAAGTTCTGATGAGATCCGATGAATTAGTGCTGGTATGATCACACCCGTTCCATGTTGCACTGTAAATACAGGGGCGCGTTCACCTTCCCTTCGCACTCCTGTTATTTTTCTTGTTATGCGCGTACCCTGC